ATCCAGGTGATTTTGAACAAAATTAAAAATTATAGGTTAAATTAAAAAGAAAAACTAAGACTATTTTTTTCTCATTTACATGCTTGTTTTATTATAAGCTTTTAATAAGTAATTATTTATACTTTGTTACGGAAAGTCTATTATAATACGCTGACGAAATTACGTGAATTATTTTCAACACGCGTAATTATTATGACTTTTATGAAAATGTGTATAGGTACATCCGACTTTTAGACATTCAATGTTAGTTTACACTTTTGTGAGTTTTTTGAGATTGATATCGAAAATAGTGATTCAAGGACGAACTAAGCCAATCGTTTTGTTGGAAGCTACTGAATTATTAAGTTTATATAAGAATAAGTTCATACTGATAATCACTTGGTTCAAAATGTTAATATTTGATTCTATAGACGAAGAAGTTTTTCAATAAAAAGGACGGTTTAGAAACGTAATTACGATTTTAGTTCAATGTATTTGAAAAAAAATCGCACTGGTTCACTGTTGCATTTATATAACTCATAATATCTCACTGAAAATATTCTGAAATTTAAATAAAAATAATAATATGTCAAACGCATATCGTTTGAAAAACTTAAAATGAAATCTGTTTTTTTTTTTTTTTGCTTTGTTTTTAATAACGCCGATCTATCGTTCTATTGTATTTCGTCTATGTAAACGCCGTTTTTCGAAAAAAAAAATATATACCAGACAATATATTATAATGAAATATATATGTATATAACGTATCTATATAGATCCTATATTATCTCTCGGATACTCTGTGTGTGTATGTGTGTTGAGTAGTCGAGCTATACAATGTGATATGCGGTAGCCGATAAAGGTATATGAATAGAAAAAAAAATAACAAAATGAAAAAATAAAACTGCTTTATAAATCAATTTCACTTGGGGCTGTGCACTAGCTATGTACGCAAACAGAGAATCGTATTGTTAAACGTTGTATAGTTACTTTGTCATCATATGATTCTGCCACAAGTTCCACTGCCCCTTACCAATCACTACCATCATCACCACACAGGCTCTCCAAACGTATTGCATAATTATTAATATAATCTTATACACACGAAGTTTGGACTTACGTGAAAGCTTCGGCAATCGCCCGATCTACACACTTTACAATAACATAAGTATACAACACGGAAAAAACGACGAACAATATTAACCATGTGAATGCAGTGTACGCATATACGGCAAAAGTATTTCGGACCAGATAAATACCGGAGAGCAGTTGCGTATAATTGCCGGGGACGGAGGTTGGAGGTTTAATTCAAAAAAATTCGAACGGATAGAAAGAGTGAGACACTTTTAGAGGATCGATAAAAGAACGCCGACGACGGCTATTATGATGTTAGAGAAAATGTGATGTGCACCGACAACAGCTGATTGGAAAATTGTTGAGCTCACATGGATATTCAGAACGAAATGCGAGAGCGAAACGATAAATATAATTTATACAGATTCACCCTGGTCGGATTTAAATTATCGGTTCGACATAAAAATAAAAAATAAAAACGAAAATAATAATAATAAATAAACAGCGGAGAGCGGCAGTGATTTATCGGTAGGAAAAAAGAAATACCAGAAAAACAATTTCACCGGATGTAATACAGTTTTTTTAACGATCATTCGCGTACTGCTCTCCCCCCACCGTCAACCTTGCCTATAAATTAAGAGCCCTACACCGTGATGAGAGGAAGGGCAGGATGGATACGAGGGCGCCGAAAATAACCTGTTGCTTTATTCGCCCACTGCGATGACGGGAGGATTTGAATTTCATCATAATCTTGTGGAACCCATTCCACGGTACCCTCACCGCACGCGCACGTACGTGTAGTGCAATCTTCGGGTAATAATATTTTACGATCGCGTTCCTTGCGCACGCACAAACCGCGCTGAATAATACCTGCGCCCATTGTATATGCCGTACGACGATTTTATTCGATTACGGCCGTTTTTAATTGAATTTCCCAGTGATAAATTTATAATCCGAACAGAAATAAAGGCTATCGGCCGGCTACCCCATTGCTCGACTGCTAACCAACCCTCACTTCCACGCACACCGCGGCCACCGAGACGCGAGATATACAATATACGATCCAGGTACCAACGCACCAGCACGATATCACATTCCCTACCCCCTCGGGTCAGACAGTGGCGTGAGCAAGGGTTCAATGAAGTAGCCAAGTATTCGTCAACAAGATCTGAACTCAATTGCGACGAATTCGTTGTCAAAAGCTAGCCAGTTAGCTTTGTTTCTATTTATTCGGTAATCGAATGTCGTTGGGCGGGTGTTGTTATACATATATACGAAATATAATAAGTTAAACTCATTATTTAAAAAGTAGTAAAGGATAAGGAACATCAATATGGATAATAGTTTTTTTTTTTTTTTTTAAGATTAATCATGAGTATGTGTAATTATTATACAAAATATAAAATAAAATTGAAATTTACAATTGAATCGTAACTTAATATATTATCTTTATTCTTTTTATCTCATATTTTTTGTAAGATGATTGAATATTTGTTACCGTTACAGTTATTTAAAATATAAAGAACTTATCTCAGTACTAGGAACAATATCGGATGAATTTGTATATAAGGAACCGTCATCGAAAATTATTTCATCGTACTAGAGCGGCGTAATCATATTATTATTTCTACCAAGACGAATAAAAACACATTTTATATCAATACCACATGCGATTTATGTCCTGTTCATTTTTAAATTGATGAATTAAAATATTGAATTCGCTCGATGATTAATTCGTTAATAATTCGAATCCTTACCAAAGTCGGTGTTTACATTACTCAATGGTGAAATAATATTAATTTGAATGGCCGTGGTCGACAATAATAATTTCGTTCGAATCAAAACTACTACGGTATTATCGTATTGAATGAGGTCCTACTCACGAATCGAGTAACTTACTAAAAAAATAATATATAAAACACTAAGAAAATAATTCAATAATATAGTACGGCGGCACCGGTGATGATCTCGGTTTCTTTTGCACTTCATGGCTTTGGGTTTCGATCGGAGTTTGGTAATAGAAAATTAGATATAAACCGATGGAATTATGTATTAAAAAAAAATAAAAATAAATATGAAAACTAAAACGAGAAGAACAAAGCGAAAACATTCCAAGTATAAAGTATAAAAAAATAAAAGAAAAAACACACTTATAATAATAAACACCAAAACTGTTTACCCTCGAGGATCCTTACCAAAATAAACTTATGGTCTTTTTACAAAGCGTATTTAAACAAACGTACGTATATTTGGAAATCGAACCATCGTGTCCTGCGCAGTCCAATACCTGTATATATGTACTTTACAGTTACACAGCAGTGGGCTTCACATTCACAAAATGTATTATGAATACCACCACTGTAACGATAATTAACAAACCCAATGGGCAACACTTTGCATAACCCTCCGCAGTTAATTAATGGTCATTATAATACACGGATGGAATGTATGTGTACGTGAACTGTGTATCGGAATTCAGCGTCCATCCGTTTGTCCCTTATAAACAAATTAAATATTTAAGTTTTGGTTTCGGACGCACTAGATAATATACAAGAGCGCATTAGCTTTACAAAGGATTTTTGTGGATAAAAATAAACCATCATGCTCTATTACTGTCCTTACTTTTGCCGTATTTTTTTTTTTTTTTCATTCCTAAAATCGATTATAATTATTACTATAGCCATATTGCTTTACAGACACAATATTTTATGGTAGATATAATATAGAAATAATAATGTTACTTAATCGTTTTTTATTTTAATTTATTACGTGTATAATATTATTTATTAATAATTATGATATGATTTAATATTTGATTGATTTCTTCAAATGAATACGGCTATGTTGCTGCATCGTTATGCAGACCGAAGGATTTACAGCAATGTCAATGATAATAATTTCGTAATCGTGTTATCAATTTTAAAATGTTCAAATTTAACGACTGTTTTGGATACGTGCAGAAAAATTATTATTTATAAATCTAAACGTAAAATAAATACTACATTTTATCTTAAAATATATAACACAAAATACGTACTTCAATAAAATGTATACACTGACAATATAACGACAAGTTTGTTTGCGAAAATTCGAGTTGAGCTCCTAGTTAAATTTATTGAGGAAGTTGTAAATTCTCCGTGTTCTTCGTTTAAAATAAATTACGTTTATTTATGTTCCGTTGGTTTTATTGATTTTCTTTTAACATTCAATCATAAAACGTTGCGTAATATAACTTAAAAACAATTAAATGCCGTAAAGGAAGAAAAAATTAAAAATTAACTATATATTCCTAACTAACTTGGAACTTTTGGCCAATTATAAAAATGATTAATAATACAGGTATAAAAATTAAAAAAAAAAAAATTTATTTAAGTCTTAATTTTAAATGTTTAGAATTTTCTTATTTGATCAACTAACTTTTGAGAAGAATAATTATTTTTATCACGAAACCTTGAAATAATAAAAAAACGTCTTATCGGCAAACATTGAATTCGTCTACCAACACTGAAAATCAGACCCAATATATTTATTTGAAAACATTTTTATACGGTTTTACAATAAATCTAATTTAATTAACTTTTTTTTTTCTGTAGAATAATCTTTAAACTATAGAATTTGAAATTGAACATCAACAAATAATTGTTTACCACATTGAATATGCTTCCAAAATCAAATTTCAGTTTATATAGCAATAAAGTTTGGTGAATTAAAATCAAATAAAAACAAATTAAAAAAAAATACAATTTTGCTCAGGATTATATTATATACATGTACATTTCTATGAGGTTCGAACAGGTTTTTCATAAATATCAAACTAAATCTGTAACCGGAATATATTTACATATTGAATAAAAAATAATATTGGTGAGTAAAAAAAAAATAAAATAAATATTGATTCAATATTACTTGGGACCGTATTGCGCTATAGAATCGACGGAAAATGCAACTTTTAGGTATACCGCATCGATGTATTTACGCATATAGTACATATAGTTGATTTTAAATCACAAGAGGACTATTTTTCGTAGTGTTTATTATTGTTTAATATATAATTAAACTTTTTCGATCAAAACGTTGATTTCAGTGTTTGTTACGATATAATTATATTATTTATAATAATAATAATAATAATAAAAACGATAGTTATAATAATAATTATAATAATGATCCTAATAATAATATTAATAATAATAATAATGATGATGATATAACGTAGACGATTACGTGGTGAGAGTATTAAACGGGCACCTGGTGCAGCAGTAATACGCAGCACAAGACCGCTATGGACGCGGCGAACACGTGTGACGTGGCCGCGGCCGCCGACGGTGACGTCTGCAAACACCTGTCCACGGTGGCCTGCTTGACGACGCTGACCGGTTGCCCGTTGAGCTCCAGCGGCGATATGCAATAGTTCTTGCCAGCGAACAGGTCGGCCGACATGTTGCCGAACGGGCGGCCGTCCAGGAATCGAAACAGGTGACAGTCGCACGGGAAGTGATTGCCCACCACGGTGAAGCCATCGGACGTGACCACTGCGAACGCGCCCTGCCCGGGGCTGACCAGCACGTGATTGCCGTTGAACCGCAGATGCTTGATGTGGTTGCCGCGGACCACTGCCAGGCTCTGCACCGAGTCGATCTTGTTGTTCAACACGTTTAGGCTACCAACGTATTTAAGCCCGGCGAAGGCGTCCGTCCGGATCACGCCGAGATCGGAGTCCTGGATGGCCAGCACGTGCACATGGCTCAGCCCTCGGAACGTGTGTGGCTTCAACGACGTAAGGTCCATGAACGACAGCTTCAGCAGTCCCACTGAGTCCATCCCATTGAACGCGTCCGGCTGCAAGTGCCGGATGCCCGACGGTAGTATCAGGTGTTCTACGTTGGTCAGCCCGGAGAACGCGTTAGCGGACACCTGTACACGGATAATCATAAACAACTTGATCACCATGTTTGGACCGAGACGGTGTCACGAGGAGGAAATGCATTTCGTCGCAGCCAAGATGTGTAAGTGCGGTTGAATGGAAAAGGTTATTTTATTTCTCTAATTTCTATCACAGGTACACATCTTAAACTAATTACACGCATTATTTGCACAACAATCATGACTTCAGTCTACGCTACCCTCTATTATTGCTCTTAGTATATACTGTTATACCATCATACCGTCGACAAATGTGTCTCAACATATCTAAAATATATTATACTCTGGAACCCATTTTTCCTAACCAACAACACCCGACGATTGGAAACAGGAATTTTTATAAAAGTCTAACAAACAACAAACACTGATGAATTAATTTATTTCACCAAAAAACGACCAAAAAAATGTTCACGAAACCGAAAAATTCCAAAGATTTTCACGTGAAAAAATGTAGGATAAGTACTGCAAGAAAAAAATAGAATTGTATCGATAAAAAATGTACACAAAAAATATATCAAACGATTTTCACACGAAAAATTCACTTAAAATTCACTTAAAATTCATATAATACAGGTACAAGGTTAAACAGCGATCATCAATCACGGTCAAAAGATAAAACTTCGCCTGGAGCAATATCGAAATTCTAAAAGGTATAGATTTAATTTAAGAGCGTCTCTGCACATAAAGTTATTCAACATTTCCTCCATTCAACTAAAATAAGGACATTTAAAAGAAGAAATTCTGCGGGGGTAATAAGAAAAAACTCTCTTGTTCTGTGTCCATGTAATATGAGGTTGGGTCCCATCAAAAATAAGCATAATCATATGATAATGTTCATTCATGAGGTTGGCCCCCTTGTATTATAAAATTCACTCCGGATCAGTCTGTAAATAAATTTAAAGAATAAATTTCAAACATATTTCCAACTAGTTTTCACAATTAAGGAATTTCGGGGAGCGGTGATTGCACAGTTTTAAATCACTATTCACCAAAAATCTATTTTTATTTGTACTTTTTAGATGCGGCCAACTCCACGTGAAACATCGTGTCCTTACCGTGTGTAGCGGATTGTTGTTCAGTAATATTAGTCTAATGTTGCTGGTACCAGTGAATGCATACTCGTCGATCACGCTGATCTGATTATAGCCCAACAGGATGGCCGTGACATTCTGAAGACCAGAGAATGAAAACTTCTTGAGCGAGCTGAGCGGTGTGTGTTGAATGGACAGCTCCCGGAGTCGATTAAGCCCGCGGAATGCGAAACTCTCGACGCTGCTTATACTGTTGGCATCCAGGGTCAACTTGCGCAGGTTTCGAAGCCCGCTGAATGCGTCAGTGGGCAAGTACGTCAAGTTGTTCTTGGTCAGCGACAGATGTTCGAGGGTGTTGGGTAGATCGCGAAGCGGCACGAACGTCAGATGGCCGGAATTACAAAGGATCTGAAACAATCAATGGAGAAACGGAGAGAGGAGAAAAGGAGAAGGGGGAGAGAACAAAAATTTAAAAATAAATGTTGGTATTTTCCCGTAGTAATAATAAATATATCGGTAGGATCGGCGTTGTGATTATTAAAGATACACATGTTCCGTAATGACAACTTGTTGACAAAAGATTGGTTGCCGTAAGAAGAATTACAAATTTAAAACCAACAGTGATGTTTTATTTTGCATACTCGAAAAAAATATTAAATACAAATAAATATCAGTCGGTTTTCATATATTTTCACAAGCACTTTCAACCGTTTTTACTCAAATTACATTAAATATTGATGTACGAATAATTTTTACTTTTTTTTATACTATATTATAGTTTTAGTGAAAAAATGCGAAAAAAGGGGCACTTATGATTTGAACAAGCATCGAATTCGCAATAAATAATAATCTGGATTAAGTATGTTATTAAATCCAGCATAAGTTAATACGGAAGACTTACACAAACTAAGTTCGAAAAACATATTCATAAAGTACAAAGATAGTATTATGTAAAATAACACTAGATATAATGAAAACGATAAATTATCGTAAGATAACTTAATACGAGACAAATTTGCAACGTCTGTTTCACATACGAAATATAATGTTGAACAGTTGAATATAAGTAGTTGATCAAAAATATAGATATGTCAAATAAAAGTATACCTACTCTGTGTGCTTGTTCGCATGTAAATTAGTAACTATTCAATGACAGAATCTTGACAGTTATCGATTATTTTATTTTATTTTTCCTCCCATTAATAAAATATAACTATACATATATGCGTTTATATATATATATATATTATTGAATGCGAATTTGATATCTGAAGAATGACTTTCACGGAGTACAGGGTGGGCACGGGAATAAGACCAAAATAAACGGGTAGGAAGTTCTAAATAAGGTCATTAAATCCGTCGAATAATGGCGTTTAGTTCCCACTATGGCACATTGAAGTGTACTGTCCCAAAAAAGCTAATCATCGGTCTGTATTTTATGAGAAACAAGAAAGCACTGTGATTGTAAATAATGTCCATCGCATAGATAATCTTAATATTTTCTTGAAACCAGAATTGCGCAGAAGGCAAACCATCAATCCATTAATATTTAATTTCAACAATATGAGGCTTCTCGCACTGCCACTGTCACAATTAATCTCATACGTAAGATTATCTCCAGTCATCGCATCTCACGTTTTGTGGATGTGAATTGGCCGACTAAATAACTCGACTTGACGGTATGCGAATTTTTCTTTTGAGGATATCTTAAGACACGTAGTTATGAATCAAAACATCGCACCTTGGATGACCATAAGGAGAAAATTAAAACGGAAATTTCAATAATGAATGAAAAATTGCTTCAGTGCGATAGTTCAAATGTTTTGGAAAGACTTGGGTGTCATATAAATTATGTTATTTAAAACAAATTAAATGGTACTAATTTACAAAAAATATAAAAAATAAAATATTGACAAAATATACATCTAACATTTACTGAGTTACCTATTTTCGTTCTTATTCCGTGGCTCACCCTGTATATATATATATTAGGGTGGTCCTTAGTTATAGAAGAAGAAATTTATTTTAAATATTCTTTGGCCAGATACCCGCCATTTTATTCATTATAATCAGTAAGTAATTGGGACTAAATTTGGTCATGATAACTTACCCCCTTTCCATGCCTCAAGAGGGTTGAAAATTTGTCATAAAGGGCAGTTTTGTAGTATTGTGAATTAAACTCAAAAACTATAGTACATAGCGAAAAAATGTATAGAAGTTTAATTATATATTTTAATGTTACTCATAAAATATATATTTGAAAAATTTGTCATAAGTCTGTATTTTTCAAAGAAAATTAGTAAAATACGAAATATTTTATTTATTTTGCAAAAGTAGATTTTTTATATTTATTCAAGTGTATTTGATAAAATATTAAAAATACAAAAACATTTCTTACATAAAAATTGAATAAAATTTAATTTCGTGAAAAAAATGTAATTTGTAATAGTCAGATTTATGTAAATTATTCTAATATTATAGCAGTTATAGTAAAATTTTATTTTAATAATCCCATATTATTATACAACATATTTTTTACAACATAATGTATTTTAATTATTTATTATAAGTTTATTTTAAAATGTCATGACTAAATCCCGGGTATTGCTTCTTATAATCTTGAACAATCTAAAATTGTAAATAATAAATTTCAATAATTGCTGTAATGTGCGAACAAAGGCAAATTAAAAAAAAAAAAAAAAAAAAAAAATTCAATAAATTCTTAATTATTCCACGAACATAAAATACTAAAAAATTACCTGTAACACATATTGTTTTTGTTCCTCTTGTTTCGTAAATTTGTCATTAAACTCCTCCATCAATTTTACACCTCTTTCTGCGTTATCATTGACAATTTTTAATGTACTTATAATATTCTTTGCTTCTTTATACTTGGTGGTCATTTTCCATAAACTTGGATTGTAAAAAATCTGGAGAGATACGAAATCTTTGAAAGAACTGTAACAATTTATTTGATATTGATTCAAATGGAAGATCTTTACATACAAAATGTTGAACGTCATCAAATTGTAAAACAATTTTTTTTTAAGACTCTTTTTCTTGTTCATCAGCATTGATTTCTTCTTTATTTATTTCTAATATTTGTTTTACCATTTTAAGTTTTGTATTATCATAAAATAAAGAAAATACGGCACACTCATCATTTAAGTACCACAAATGGTTGATACATTTTTCTAATGCTACTTCTCCTATTTTTCTATTTTGTTTTGTATAATCAACTAATTTTTTTAAAAAAATTATATCATTAAGTGGAGCTGTTATTGGAGCACATATCCATACCTCTAAATAACTTCTTTATAGTCATTTCTTGGATAATTACCATCGATTTTTTTTTTTTTTTTATACAAAATAATAAAACATCTTCAACTACATATTTTAATTCTTCAAGTACTTATGTCTGCGATGTCCATGTATTAAAATTACGTACATCTAAATTCATCCAATTACTTTTAAATTGTTTAAACATCGGAATATCAGGTCCAGACGTAACAGATAGTTTTGATATAACAAAAACAGCTTGTAAAACAATTTAAAAAATATGGTGACGACAAGCAAAAAATAGAATATTTCGGTTTAACTTTTGTTCAAGAAGAACGCATGCACCATTTAGACGGCCACTATTTGATGCAGTAGTATCAAATACAAATGCTTCAACTTCATCTAATAGACACTTATCGTTTAAAGCTGGGGCGGCCAAACGGTCGACCGTGGACGCTTTCAGAGTAGATCATGTTAGAATTTATTTTTAAACCACGTGCACAAAAATTAATCGTGGTGGTTCTGAACAAATTTTTGATAAGTTTCACCTGTAAAGTTTTTATCTTTTATTCTGGTTTATAAAAAAATTTTCCAAGAAAGTCGATCTTCAAAGGTGAAGTATATTTTCAGTAGATCGTGACCGAAAAAAGTTTGGCCGTCTCTGGTTTAAAGTATTATACATAGCTGAACATATTTCATTTCCACTCCCAGATGGTAATTTTAGAACTCCTTATAAATGTTCAACATTAGAAGCTGTGATAATCACAGGAAGACGATATATTGTGTCCCTACTTGTTAAGTCTGGTAGTAATTTTGAATCTCAATACACAACGCAATATTGTAGATTTACATTTAAAAAATTAGATTTTATAGCTTCAGATAATTGTTCATGACACTTTTCTCGAGCTCTTTTAATTGAAGATCTATTAATTATATACTCACTAGTATTGACATCAAATGATTCAGCTGCAGCTGTAAGTAAATGCACGGCATCTCGGTTACTTGCCTTGCATTTATCTAATGCCGCCGATAAACGGTGGTTTATAATTTCCTTTCTTGCTGGCTTGATTGTTGATGGGCCAGGACTTTCAAGATTTATAATTTCATCTTCATCAGTGAAGTTTTCATCTAATGTATACTCCATAGACACGATTGTAGTATAAAAAATTATTAGAAACATTGTTTTTGAAAGTAATGATTTCAAATTATTAATTTACAGTAATTTTAAAAATATAATTATAAAATAAAATAATTATATAAACTACCTGTCGATTTCGATACGATTTCATATTTTTGTTTTTCTAAAAACAATTTTCGAAATTCAAAGCCGGTTATTTTGAATCTTTACCCATCATACATCCACGACGTCTTTTTTCACATTGTTTTATTAAAAATAGTTTATCTTCGTGAATTTTTATAATATTTAAAGCATTACTATGCGCAATGTCAAATAAGTCATTTAAATTTTCTTTAAACGTACCTATTCATAATTTTTTTTTTTGTGTATCAGTATTTCTATTTTTATTTTTATCTAATTTTCTCCATTCGTCATAGAATTTTTTAATTATTGTTATGCAATTTAATCGATATTAAATTGGTATATGCGCTTTACGCGCTTATCTCCAAAAAGTTTGACATTCATCAAACACAAGACTAGCGCTATCGTGTAATGTTAGTTTGACTAAACGCATATTGTAAAAGAGAACGTTCAAAATATCTCTTTTTAATGGAAGCTTACTACCAGTTATTTGATTTTTCATAACACCAACCAAGAAAATGAATTGTCTTGACATAATTGAATATGTAAATTAAAACCTATACTTTATATAGGAACAATATTATACAATATTTAACAATGAACACTACTATAATCACAATTTGTATACATCGCCATACACTGGGTGAATAACAGAAAATTAAACATGTTAGTTAATTTCATTTTGACGATAGGTATTTAATGACACCAATATTGATAATGATAAAGTATAGTGGTCATAAATAGTTTTCAATACATGGTTATCTCTTATTACTGAAAATCATGATAAATCTAATATACATATCTTCTGCGTATTTGACTAAAATTATCATTTCCAAAATTATTATTATAAGTCTGTCTAACCTTTTTTTTTTTTTTTTATTGTTATTATCATAATTGCCTTGCTGTAATGTTTATACAATAAAAAAGCAAATTAAAAAAAAAAAAAAATTATTATTTTATATAATCCAAATATTACTACAATACAATGGCTACTCCATTGAAAATTTAACAATCACCTTCTTTAGGATATTCAATATTATAGATTTTTATGTATGAAATTTCATCATAATTTTAATATTTTATCAAACACTTGAATAAATGTAAAATTTATTTTGCAAAATAAATAAAATATTTCGTATTTTACTATTTTTCTTGGAAAATTACAGACTTACGACAGATTTTTCAAATATATATTTTATGAGTAACATTAAAATATATAATTAAACTTCTATACATTTTTTCGCTATGTACTATAGTTTTTGAGTTTAATTCACAATACTACAAAACTGCCCTCTATGACAAATTTTCAATCCTCTTGAGGCACGGGAAGGGAGTGAATCATCATGACCAAATTTAGTTCCAATTACTTACTGATTATAATGAACAATATGACAGGTACCTGGCTTGAAATTTTGAAAGTTAAAAAATAAGGACCACCCTAATATATATATATATATATATATATACCCCTGTATGTCTAATATCATCACGAGTGTTTTGTGAAATAAAGAACGAGAATTTGACATTCTGTAATATTATAACGTAGTATACACGTATCTGCATAATTGATGCGACGCTGAATCGGTGAAACTATCGGACGCGCGCAAACGGTGAAACACAATAGTGGATTTAAATATTGTATCAGCAGTGTCCGGTTCAGTAGTTGGAATGAACCCAAAGGAGATATCACATTATACACATTAATAAAAATAATAATAACGATAATAATACAACTTCCACTGAGTGATCATGTATGCGGTTCGCATACAATATACAAGGAGCGTAATAATTTTAAACTCTAAAAATTTTAATAATATTTAGGATACTGATATACTTGTTTCTGTGATAAACATATGCAGTCTGAATGACATGACCACGAGTGCACCACTGAGTTGGTAGTTATTAAAATCAGTGTCATCAAAACTCGCATGCCGTTCATTTGTCTGAAAAACGAAAAAAAGTTTTAGTAAGAAAAACAAAATTTTCGTAATGTATTTATTTATGTAAGGAAAAAAAAAGTTTTGAAAAAACACTTAAAATTAATTCGCATGCGGTGTCACCATGTTTAATTCCCGCAAGAGTTACGTGCGCAAAGCATCTCTACACACACATCATAAAGTTGTATAACTCATGAGTTTGTTTTTATTTTCGTCGTTAGGAGTATTAAGTTTTTCGGTCACGACGACGGGACGGTAGAACAGATTCGGACGACTTATTAAACATTCATAAAAGGTTAAAATACAAAGTGGTACGTAGCGGACTGTAGTGAGAAATCGTCGTCACCGACGCGTCAGCCGGTTGTAGAAGCCAGAAAAAGAGAAAGTGCGAACCAAATAAAACGGGGAAAAGTAAAACCCGAGTCGAGGACATTTGGGTGTTTATTATGATATGTACTGATGAAGCCATGGCGCAAGTGGAAAAAAGGCATTGACGAGATAAACAGTCGTGAAAATTTACCGTTCAAACATATCGCGAACGAGCGAGCAATGGCAAAAGTACATGAGTGGTCTACGTCCGTCCGACAGCGCCGTGAATAGGTTTACGTAATGCGTTCTATTAACGGATGTGCTTGCCACGTGTCCTCTTGGGCAAATGCATGTTACCGTCCTGATGCAGTATCGAAAACAATACACGAGCCGACACTCCTTGTCCACCTAACCGTCATCGCTACGTCACGCGGTGTATTCAGTCGGGTTCACATTATACCATCCACATTCTGAAACGAGTGATGCCAATACGTACCCATCGTTCGGATTAGATAGGTAATTTTTTATACAGGTAAAGATAATGCGACTCGAATTTATATGGATAAAGATAAAAGATAAATTAATTCATATCTATCTAGACAAAGATAAAAACCCTTTTACCTAGATGAAAAAAAAAAGATACAATATTTTTTTAAATCTTTTTAAACAAGTGCAAACCCAACTCATTTTAGAATTTTTTTTTTTATTATTATAATTATCTTATTTGTTTTTTCCTTGCACCACTATAGCAAATTTATATATTTCAAACACAGATTATATGTTAAATAATTTTTTTTTAGAATTTATAAATTATTATTTATTAAAAAAACATTGGATAAATAACTGGTAAAATTGAATAACATATTTTTTTAATTAAATATTAATGTTAATATTTTATAATAATAAAATTTAACATTTAGCAATTCCATAATGATTATGATTAAAAATAATTAAAACATAAATTAAATATTCACTATGTGAAATTCAATTTATAATCATCCATAATTTAAAATGCAAATGTTAAAAATTAATAAATAATTAAATAATATTTAAAAAATATTAAATGTTTTATACTCATAAATTATTAAATAAATAAATAAACAAATAGTTTATAAACTTAAATAAGTAAATAAATAAATTAAAAAATTCATAGTCTAGAATGTTATTATATTTGTAAAATACGACTGGTTTTTAATTAAAATTCATCTCGTTAGATGTATACAATAAACATTATACCTATCGGCATGCAATGTAAAAAACCATTATCGTTATTTATACATTTTTTTTAAAATTATTAATAATGTCCTATAACTTATAAACTTTGATTAAGAATTTCAATAAAAATTACACAAATTTTTTGCACAATTCTGATGATCGAAATTATGAATTTAGATAATAAGATATACTTAGAAACTATTTATTAAGATAAGATAAAATATGAACAAAAAATTCATCTAGATAAGTCCGACTACTTTATGTACCACGACAACTGTTTTATTTTTTTACTACCTGGGTAATAAATCATAATTAAATATTATATCATTCCTTCATAGAATTTATTAAAATCTGCAATAATCACACGTTCAAAGTTAGAAACAAAATTTTCGGCAACGCATATATGGTTATTGTGGTAACGTGCGATGAATTCCTTGTATACCGTATTACGTGATTTTTTTTTTTCGGGAATTCATAAGAAATCTATTATGGGGAAGTTCAAGAGTCAAAATTCGGGACTCGTACAGTACAACGTAAAGAACATAATACGGTGTTTAACAGATAATAAAACGGTTCTCGTTGTACAAAATAATTATAATGTGCATGTACGTTATTGCGTCACGTGTTTTGTGTATAACGTGGTTGTTTCGTGCCGCTGTAATATACACTACACCCTCTGGCCCCTTTGTGGTATACCATCGTCGAAGGATATTTAATAGGTGAAGGATTTTAAGTGGGTAAATTTGAATACAAGAAAAAACACTTGCGCGCATTCTCCGACCAGAATGTATCGTGTGTACTACATATATTGTGTGTGTGTGTGTGTCTGTGTGTATACATATTGTAGATTTGCACTATTCAACTATTCAATGACTCTCATTGAGGACCACTCGACCACTCGAATACATTACAATCGTTTACAAAAACGCGTGCGAGTAAAACACGCGAACGCGTTGTTAAGCTCGTTTTTATTTTTATTTTTTTTTTTTTACTCATGTAACTAATGCATTTTTCAAGTATTTTTTAACACGGTTTTTATTCATCGTTACACTACGTTTTACAATATTATAAAAGTACCGAATGCAAGCAGATTGCACGTGCATTTATCGACTCGTTTAAATTTGTGCACGAGCTCGTCTTTCTACGGTTCGATATTGCAGTTATCGTTTAAAATAATAACAATAAAAGGTTATTCTTGAAAATTATTAGCATTGAATTTTTCAATAATAAATGTTCATAACTCAGTATTTGTAACGCAAATCTCAAAACCGTCACTCAACCCCTTTTATGTAAGTACATAACTATATTTCAACATAGACATATAGAATTACAACGCAGCGCACAATGATATCTATTCGACGCAGGTAATAAAGGTAAATTTAAATGTACTATGGTTAAAAATCCGACATCAAACTAGTTTCAGACAAGTCCCATTGTATCTTTTCAAATTGCGTTTCACACAAAATATCCCTTTAGCCTTTCCGCGTAATTGGAAAGTCTTTCGATAACCTTCTCTTTTATTCGCATATTATATTATATTTGCTTATATCTTTTCCATCCCTATCTTTCAGCAATTTTTAATAAAATTGTAATAATTTATTGAACTATTGAGTCTTAAATTCGCGTCAAATACAAGTGCAACTACTGTTATATTGAGAAAAAAAAACATTATCCATCGCAATCACCGTACATGTGCATCACGTACTTGTATATATTACATCGTGCATACAGTAACACGATATATAAATTATTATATTTTTGTCTTTGCCGTGCAAATTACACGCTGTGCTCAACAACACGTATAATTGGTATTTGTTTTGGATTGATTACGCGTCGAATATATTAATTAATATTAATGAGGTTTAAAAACATCCGAAATCTTGAATTACCGAAACGCAAAGAAAACCAACACGCGAAAAGCAATAACACGGAGATTAGGTTCGGTTCACGTGACGCGCCAGCTGAATTATTAGAATACGAACATATATTATGCGTATAAATATACGGGAATAGCAGCAGTGGGGACGTAATCATATTCGTGAAATCTTTTATAACGGTAGATAATACGATTTAAAAGGGGAACAAATTTCTTCAGTTTTTCAAGATAAAAATACACGTATTTATTTCTGATCTTTGTCCCATTCGCGTCCCGGTTGTCTGTAGTCGGTGAAGTTTAATCTTGTACCCGTTTCGGAATTAGCTAAAGCTCTTTTATGTACAAATTTGATTGTTTTATATATTCCGTCATCCTCGAGAACGCGCGTAGGGAGAGATGAAAATACGTTTTACCTCTTTATTACTGAAAAAAAAAAAAAAAAACGTTTACGATATTATTAAGGTAATGCTCGACTCAGTTTTATTGTCTTTATTACGTGAGTATTCCACCCGGGAACCATGCACACCCTCGACCCTAACCGACTATATCATATTTTTCGTGCCAACCCCCATTGTCTAGGACTAAATCGAATCGTGGGTGAATATTTCCTTTTTATTTTATTGCACGTTCCCCGTCGTTATACGACGGTAGGCTGTTGCTATTTCTATAAGTATTTTATTCTAAAAACGCACGACAATACTATTCGTTTGGTTGTATGCTTTCTACTGCAGTTAATTAAAAGGAAAGACGAAACATGTGTTCTGAACCTAACATGACGTATATATAGAGCTCAAAATTCTCCCGGTACAACAATGATCAACGAACCGTTATATTACCACATTAGAGTTGCCATAAATAATTTCCGAATACGTTACCTAATGAGAGTATAATGTATCTGAAAGACTTTTCCCCTATACGTGTCTTAAACAAATATTTTTCGGCAAATTGAAATCGACATTATAATATACTATAATAATATTATTATTATTATTATTATTAGTAGTAGTTGTAGTAGTAGTAACTGATATGTATAGCATGCGCATATACGAGTATTTATACAATAATAGTTTTGAGAAATTTCCCGTTTCGCTTAATTTACTATACATACTAAATACTGCAGCTCTTACGGGCGTTAGGCATAGTATAAAACAAAATATTACATACTTCATAAATATTATAGTCTATAACACAAGTTATGTTTTGTAACACAAAAAATGTACAATATTCGGAATAATTTTTTCACGTTTGGGTAAGGTTTCATTAGGTTAGATTATATTAGGGAAAATTAAGTTAGGTAGAGGAAGTATTGGGAAACCTGTTCCATCTTTGCCGTCGGTTCAAATAAAGAAAAAAAAGGTTATGTTAGAAATATATGTATATAAATTTAATATATATTGTACACCATGAATTATTGTCACTTGATCTTTCAAATCAAATATATTAAGAGGACGTCTTACAAGTATATATTCGTCCGTAAAACCATTTTGCACGGGAACGAACCGAGGAGGCAACAGTAATAACTAAGAAACGATATTTTCACTATATAAAAAGGAAAATTTTGTCTGTGTAATATAATTTTTATTTTTTCGATATCAGAACTACAGAA